CCGAATCTTGGATTCGTTGTGTAATTTGTTTTTTTGGCTATTTAAACTGGTTTTTGCACCATCATGTCAACAACTATATTTGTTGTATGTGTCTTGGATATATTTGTTGTATGCGTAATTCTTTGTGTAATTTGATTCTTGGATATAGATGAAAGTGAAATATGTTGAGTTTTGGTTTGTGTGTTTTATTATTATTTCTTTTTTTTTTTAGTAAATTACTTATGGACACAAATCCTAAAATGTAAAATGAGTTAACTTTGAGTTAAAATTATGTGGAATGTCGGTCAACATGAGGTGTTTCATTTTTTCCAAAATTCCCCTTCATCCAAGGATGATCCTCGGCCCACATTTTCTTTTATTTTTCTTTAAGTTTTTTCGAACAACAAACACTAGGGCACTGCCCTACTAACAAAAAAGATCAAAAAATTTAAAAGTAGTATGAGGATTGTTATGCTCCAAATGGTAATTTTGGAAAAATTAAAAACATTGTTGACTGATCTTCAGCATAATTTTCACCGAAAATTGGCCCAATTCATATTTTTATCTTTTTATTTTACGTACTAGTTTCCTTGCCTTATAGCAACTGTGTAAGAAAATTTGGATAAAAATTTAATATATTCTGCTTACATTAATGTTCCATCAACAAACATTAATAAGTGTCTTTTGGTTTTCTGGATAAATCTGATGTTCTTTGATGCCTTTTCTTTTTCTTGATAAATCTTATCTTCTTTGATATCTTTTGTTTTTTTGATAAATCTAATTTTCTTGAGTAAGGCAATATGATAAATATTATCATCTTTGATATCTTTTGTTTTCTTGATAAATCTAATCTTCTTTCTTTATCAGTTGTAGTAAGGCAATATGATAAATCTTATCTTCTTTGACATCTTTTGTTTTCTTGATAAATCTAATCTTCTTTCTTTATCAGTTGTAGTAAGACTATGAGATACGAGAGAAACTAAGGTTCAAATTTTAAAATAAATGGTGAATGTACGATCCTAGATCCTAGGGAGATATTATATTTATATATATATAACGAACTTCACATTAGAACAAAGAAAATATACGATTAAGACACAGAAAGAAGTAAATAAAAAAAAAAGAGTGATCTTTTGTACATTGTTTAAAAAAAAAATTTATTTGTGAATAAAAATTTATTTCATTTTAATTTTGTTTATTAATTATAACAATGGCCAATTATAAAATTTAATTCATAAAAAAAATGGTGATTGTACTATATTTTTTATAATAAATAAATTTATTTGTGAATAATAATTATTTAAATTTAATTTTATTTATTAAATATAACAATTGCCCAATTATGAAATTTAATTTATATTTATAACTTTAAATTTATGTATTAATTAAATTTGAAATCATTGTTATATGAAATTTATAGTATTCAAAAATAAATATTTAAAATTATTTAAAAATTATAATTTACTTAGTATGGATTGAAATTTATTATAAAACCTCCATTTATTTTAGAGAAATTACATTAAGAAAATTATAAGTAGGAAAAAGATTTTTTTTTTTCAAAATGATAATGACTTCTTGTATTTTCAAATAAACAATAAGCAACAAACCATGCCCGAGCACCCCCAATTCGTTATATTGTTATGCATCTAAATTCATTTTATTTATTAATTAAGATTTTAAGTTTTGATCTTTCAAAATTACTCATAAAGTGAAAATATTTATATATTAAATATTTATGATTTAAATTATAATATGGGAGTCAATGCAAAATAAAATTACTTACAACATATTTGCTTAATATAAAAATGAATTTTTGTCTAAAGAATTGTCACTTAAGATATTACAAATAAGTGAAATACTTTGTTTCAAATCATTAACCATTTCATTATATTTTCCTTAAACAATAATAATAATTAGGAAATTTTACCTTATGTATATAACTATAGCTTTTTTAACAAATATTAAGATGATATTTGACTAAATTAGATATCCTAATATTATGGGCTAAAACATACCGTAATTTAATATAAAAATGTGGGGATTAAGACAAGAAATATCGTTTTAGATTAGGGGGGAGGGAGAGAGACAGAGAGATAAGAGATAAGAGATAAGAGAGAGACTAAGGCTCAAATATTTAAATAGATAGTGATTGTACGATCCTGAATTCTACGGAGATAAGATCTATATATCTAACTAACTTCACATTTAAACAAAGATAATGTAGACTTGCTATTCCTATCAGATTTCAAGAATTCTTAAGAGTTGGGTGTGTGCTTCTTGAAACGTTTATCTTTTCAAATTTGTTTCATTACTTTTTCTTTATAATTCTTTTCCTTAACACAAATTCCTTTGTTTTTCACACATCAAGACCCGTCACTTTGAAGTTACAATTGGTCTGAAACTTGATGCTATAGAAGAGAGAGAAAGATAGGGAAAAGGAGTTGAAGAGAGAGAAAAGGTGGTGGTTCAGGAAGAGAGACAAAAAGCAGTAAAGAAAGAAGAAACGGGGGAGAAGCGAGTTGGGAATGAGATTGAAGTTGAGGAGGGGGAACGATCATACGTCGGCTATAGGTGAGCATCAACTCTCCGTCTTGAGTGGTCTCTTTTTTTTTTTGGCCGCTCCGGTTCCGTTCGGATCGGCCCAACCTAGACCTCCCCTCTTTTGCCTCTTTGGGCCGATAACGGGTGTGCCGCCCTATAGGGCTAGGGCCAGGGTTGGCCAGTTGCCATCTCTACTATCTTTAGTGGATGTTCTCTTTTTCCTTATACACATGCTTCTCTCAATTGGTTGAGAATTTACCCGGTTTGGATTCGAAACTCGAATTTCGGTCTTTATCTATATCCATGTATGGATCAAAGATTTGGATTTGAAAGGTCAGATCCGGATCCAAAATTCGTATTTTAGATCAGATCTGGGTACATGTGGATTAGATCATGATCCGACTTTTTTATTAAAATACTATATATTTTTTTATATAATATTTTTTTTATATATTATTTTATAGATATAAAATTTTATTGGTTCCGATCGGGTCTAGATCCAGATCTCATGTATACTTTTTGGATTTAAATTTGAAATCAAATATTCTAGATCCGATTAGAATCGGATCAAGATCCGATGTATCCTTGTCAGATCCAAACCTAGATCTAGTGGACCCGACCCGATCGTACCTATTCTCTGCCCAACTATTGGGTGTTCTCTCTCTCCTAAGTCCTTGGCCACTACATCAAACTCACGGATACTTATTCCCGCCCCATTCTTTTATTTACAATATATTGATGATTAGATAATAGTGACAAAAAACTAAAAATTCAAGCTGAGGCAATTAGAGAGAGAGAAATTTACAGAGAACATATCCTAGAAAGTTACGAAGTTTTGGGGTATTTGAAAACCTAGAGAGAGAGAGATTGAGAGAATTCTCTGAAAGAAAATTGGTGAATTCTTAGTGTGTAAAATCAGATGAGTTTTTCAAACTAGAAGGTGTCATGGATGGTTATATATTTTTATTGGAGATGAATTATTCTGTTGATTCTTGAATTTGCTTTTATTTCAAATTATTTTAGGAATACTCTTGAATGTTTCTTGGATTTGGTTTTATTTGAGCTTATTTAAAGAAAAGCATTTGTTGCAAGTTTTAGTTGAATTTAGCATGCTTTGAAGATAATAAATGGATTTACTTGTTTGAGCTGATATATTTATGGGTTTACTTAAAATTTGCATGTCTCTGTAATACTTTATGGATTGCTCCCTCAGTTCTTTTTCTCGAATTAGGTTCCACCTAGTACTGTAAAGAATCACTATTTGTATGATTACTTTAAACTAGAATGTTTCATAGATGGCTTGTTTCATTCTTTTTTAATATACTTTTTTTTTATCTTAGGTTATTGGAGGAACACTATTACAGGGTAACTTGAGATTAGGATATTTCAGAATTCAGAAATATCCATGGTTTTCCTTTTGATTGTTTATATTTTCTTGAATTTTCTTTTAATCTAGCTTATCAAAGAAACATCCATTGCAAGGTTAGTTGAATTTAACACATATCAGAGATAATTCATGGATGGTTCTCTTCGTTCTTTTAACTCTGGAATTTCCTCTTATCTGATGAATTTAGAGATCATTCTGTTGCACAGGTGCTTGAATGAGCATGTGGATGCAAGACTTCTCGTATGGTTACTTGGTTATTATTATTAATTTTTCTCTTTTGGGAGTTCAGTGGTAGAAATCGAACTTAGAATGTAGTGCTCCAATCATGAACAACGAACAACTCAAACCCGAGCACGGTTCCTGGTTACTTTGGTTATTTTATTTTTCTCAAATTTACTTTTATCAAAGACTTATAAAAACACTCATTGTAAAGTTGTTTGTGCTTTTAGAAATATTTCGGTGGATGGTTCCTCCCTTGATTCCCAGTTTCTACGAATTTACTTTTACGTGATATTTTTAAATAATTCCTCACTGCAGAGTAACTTGCAAACATTATTAGATGGTTTCCTTGGTTTCTTTCATTTTCTATAATTTGCTTTAACATGAGTCTTTTAAGGAATCCCTGAGGCAAAAGTTATTTGAATTCTTGTATAGCTCCCTTGTTTCTTTTCATCTTCTTTTAAATTTGCTTTTATCTGATGGATCTAAATAAACCTTCATTGCAGTATCTGGAAGTATCTTTTGGAACATTTATTTGATGTCTCCCTTGAGTCTTTTCATTTTCTTCAATTTTCTTTCATCTGAGTGTTTTGAGGTACCCTTGGTAGCAGAGTTACTCGAAATTAGCATGCTTCAGATGTTTTTCTTGGATGGTTCTGTTGGTTCTTTTTATACCTGAGATAATTACAAAACCCTTCACTGCAGGGTCAGTTGATAATGTGGAGGCCTTCAATAGAGGAGTCTTTAATGGAGGGGCTACTACTGTATCGGAGATGAATCAAGAATGCAACTCATTGACAGAAAACAGCCGTGCGATTCCTTGTGGGCATTTGAATGCTTCTCAGTATGTCAGTTCATTAGAAGCGAAGGGACCAATTCGTCAACAAGATCAAGAACAATTGGGTGGTAAGTTCCTCTTTTCCATCATTCCTTTCTGTTTTACACTTTTATCTTCTAAACACCCTGTTATGTTGGTGAATTGATGGTGTGTATGATTACGGCACAAATGTATGCTTCGGTCTGATATAATTAAGGGACCTTCATTGCAGGGTCACTTGATAATGGGGAGGCCTTCAATGGAGGAGTCTTTAATGGACTGGAAAACATGACTTTTACACAACTGCTTCAGCTGGATGATCTCGATGTTGTGAAGGCTCTCAATGGAGGGGGCTTTTATGGAGGATCTCATACTGTATCAGAGATCAATCAAGAACCCAACTCATTGACCGCAAACAGCAGTGGGATTCCTGATGGTGATTTGAATGCTCCTCAGTATTTCAGCTTATCAGAAGCTAAGCCACATATTGGTCAACAAGATCAACATCAGGAACATTTGATTTATGAAAGCCCATCTAGCTATCAACAAAATCATTGGGGGAATAATCCCATGAATGAATGTCACATAGTGGGTCACCGATTTATGCCTCAAAAAACAATGTTGTCGCATAAAGAAAGAAGATTCCAATCAAGAAATCACCTCAGTGACTCAACTTCTGGATTCCTGGGAGAAGAACCAAAGCAGGGACTATTGGATATGCATTTGGACAGTATATGCACTGGCTCCTACCATTCACATTCTCCATTGATGAAGCAGCATGGCAGTGAAGAAGTTCTTAGAAAAATCTGTTCCTTCACATGGAGAAGATTTGAATGCACAATCTAATGGTTCAATGAAATGCCCCCTGTCAAAGGCTTCCTCTCCTCAAAACCAAATGCTTGAACATCCTGCTAGTGAAGCTTCGAAATGCTTTGAATGGCTAGTTTTTTTGCACCATGGCAGCACATGTTCAGCTCCAGCAGGCCAGTGCTCATTTTATCTATGTGCATATGCCCAAAGGATTTGGATGCACATTTCTATTTGTGAACAAATTCAGTGCCCATTTCTTTATTGTCGTCGACTGAGGAAATTGTGGGGGCTCTATTGCAATTGTAGCGACCAAGATTGTCTTGTTTGTAGTCGTGTTCGCATATTGATATCTTTTCACCAGCCGTTGGATTTTTGGAAGGTAGATTTGACAAGGAACAGTAAAGAAGCTCTGAGCTCTGAGCCTTTGGGAGATGTGCAATATCCACCAAAAAGAATGAGGGCCGAACATTCTTCACCAATCCAATTCTTGCCAGAACCTGTTGCCTCAATACCAGAGGTTTCTGATCCTGAGAAAGTAGAAGAGAGCTTTCAAAATGAAGGGCCTGCTGTTGTTGAACTTGGAGATACTCCAAGGTTGTTTTATTGTTCCTTGACATCTGCTCATGGAAATCCAGGGACAAAAATGCAAAATAGGAAAGAGCTTAAATGTTGCAGTCCCAAGATTCTGAGCACTGTGCTTTCAGAAGATCTGCAGCCTCCATTAAAAAGAATGAAGTTTGAGCACTTACCGACAAAATGTATTTCACCAGAACCTTTATCGCAAACATCACAGTTTTGTGATCAAGTTCCAGTAAAAGCAATTGCTGAAATCGAAGAGCCTGGTTTTGTCGTAGTTAAGGATACAACAATGAAGATGGGAAGTTCCCCAAACTTTTGTCATGAGATTCCAGGGACCAAAATGGACAATGGTATGGAGCACACTACGCCTGGTTTTGTCGTAGTTAAGGATACAGCAACAAAGATGGGAAGTTCCGTAACCTTTGGTCATGAGATTCCAGGGAACAAAATGAACAATGGTATGGAGCACACTACTGAGGTGAAAGAAGGTATTCCTTTAATATCCTCAGGTGAATTATCATCACAAATCACCTGTGAAAATCTCACTGAACTCAACATGTGCAAGATGGAAATGAACCAGGAGCCTGCTATCTCATCGGCTGATTGTGAAGAAGGAACCATGCACGGGAAGCAAAAGATACAAGGTGCTTCTTTGCTTGAAATTTTCACCCCAGAGCAAATTACTGATCATATCAACTCCCTCAGGCAGTGCGTTGGTCTGGTTAGTATTCTTTCTCAAGGGATAGTGACCTACTTTTCATGCTTCTTGACATCATTGCTATGGAAGGGAATCCATGCATTATGTTTCTTTGAGGACTTCTATTCTGAACTATCTCAACCTTAAGAGTAAATAAATGAGATTGTCATAATTTAGGTTGATTGCAAAAGCAAGCTTTACATGTTTCTCTCTTGAATTGCAAAATTTGATAGGTTTATTGCCTTGTCCTAAAGATTTTGCCACCAGTAGTCTACTTTCTTTTATCTGTGAATGAGGTATTCTACCACGTTTTTATGGTGCATAAGTAGATAAGACTCTCAAGGTAGTTAGATATTTGTGGGGCTTTTCAGTTTAGTATCTAAAGATAATTGATTATCAATATTCCAGGATATCGTACTTCTTCTTTTACAAAGCAATATACACTATTTAGGATTATTCAGTTTGAACACAGTATATAAAATGATTGTCGGATCCTCTTGTGGCACCAATTTTCCACCATACAGAGGTCTTCCTGTGAGTTCTCTGAAGTTTGAATAGCATGTTTAATTATACATATTCCTCATGAGAGCCATACGATACTATTGTCTAAATTGCATTCATCAACATGCTCGATATCGGACACATGCATCTTTGGGATTCTAATATGCAGCCATTGAGTTTCTAGAATGGGGTCAAAGTATGATTCTCCACTCTACAGATTTCCTTTCGAGGAAGTAGTTTGATTCCTCTCTTCGAAGATGTCATAAGGACCAGCTGTGTTGTGGCTTCCTTATGACTTCTAATATGCAGTAGTTAAGTTTCTAGAATGCGCTGTGTTTTGGTTGCACAGGACCATTTGGATTGCTATGATCACTATGGAATTTGGTCATGTGCCAAACCAGTTTCTCTTTTCATAAGCCTGACTTCGATGTGGTTATGTACGTGTCATGAAAAAATGCATGTAGATAATGCACATGGGTTTCTAATTATGGCATTAATCTCATTTGCGCAATTCCTGAGATGGATCCAGTCCATTAAGTGATTAAAGGAACTGTGAGCTGTCTCCTGGTTAAAATTATGCCAACTAGCCCTCGTTTTTTTGTCAGATTGAGATGTCTTTTGCAGAATTCTTAGTAGATTTCCGAAAAATGAGCACATTAATATTTTACATTGTAGGATATAATTGTACTTTTCTTTTCATTGGTAACTTAATTTCACTTATCTGTGTATAATTTACATGTGATGTTGCATCGCATGTAAATGGACATGCATATTTCTTTACTGATAAAAATACACTTAATGGGTAATGTGTTATTTAATCTGTTGGCCTTGAACTCTTCCTTCATAGACGCCTAGGTAATTGAGGGCCATGTTTTGGTATTAAGGTCTGAGGAAGATATGATTGTGTTTATTATGCCAGGCCACAAGGTTGACAGTTCTTTTGGCAGATGACGGTGTCCTGGGATAAATGGGCATTTTTCTAGGAATTTATATATCGGGCTTTATAATCATGTTTTTATAGTTGGATAGCTTGCTCCATTAATTATTTGGTGTTTTTCATTCCATAACATTGTAGTCATTCTGATATTCAAGTGTAAACATGTCACCTTTTTCGTCCAGATGGTAGTTACTTCTTGAAATGTCCTAGTGCAAGTGATAAGTTTCAGATTCACTAACTTTTTCATGTTTCCAGTCCATCAAGACTAATTCAAAGGCAGAACATTGCCAAGCAATGGAGAGTTCTGCGAATCAAAGCTCTTGCCAGATGTGTGGTATGGAGAAGCTCTCTTTTGCACCACCTGATGTGTATTGTAATCAATGTGGTCTTCTAGTCAAGAGATCGCCCATATGTGACAATTGTCATAATCCTAGGTCACTGTTAGATTTGTAAGGATCGCCCATATGTGACAATTGTGGCAAAGAGATAGTGATAGGAATCATGGTCATCAACTGAAGGACAACTATATGTAGCCAAGAATGAAGTGGAAAATAAGGACATGAGCAAAAAGGGGTTCATTGGATACGTTTGTGTTTCTTATGAAATTCTTGTTATAATATGTTGCTAAGTTGTATCATGTCTGTAAAGTTCAGAGAGAAGCCATTTTGGGTTTCCTATTATATGTTGCATAGAGGTGGATCTAGACCAGGACCCAGTGTGGTGGATCAATCACCAGGTTTATGTTTGATTGGCAGTTGTAAAATTTTGTTCTTAGTAAACTGCCTTGTAAATATTGGTTTAATTTAATGTCATCAAGTTATAGTTCTTACAATTTTGAGTTGCATGTCTTTTTATCTGGATTGATTTACTTGTTTTTTGGATTTTTAATAGGATTTTGGAGAACTGATTGATATTTAGTGATTCAACTTTAGTGACTGTATATAGGTGAAAATATGACATCCAATCTTCTTGGAAATCGAAAAGGACCTCAATGAAAGTTATATTTTAAGGGATTGATTTGCGCTTAATCTAGTACTATAAGCACGTACTTGCATGTGTTGGCTACTCCATGTTACTTATATTACCTATCCTTTCCAAAAAAACTATGGTAGAAATAAAATAAATATTGTTACTATGAGACCATTTATTTTTTGTACAAGGAGGTCATAATTACTTTTGACCATTGAATGTGAAATCCAATAGATGAAATTGTACGATAACATTCAAGAGATTTTGTTTCGGACTTTGTGCCCAAACAATAACACACCATCAACCGCCTGATCTCAAATGTAACAGTCGATGACAATTGTGACCTCCTTATATCAAAAGTAAATGGTCTCACTGTATATATTTCCATAAAAATAATCAGTATTATATGGATCAAGCAAGGTTGACTAAAGAAGATGTTTTTTTGGGGGGAAGATATATAATGACATAATTTATCTGTAGTATAAAGAGATCACAACCAGTTTCGGCTATTAGATGTAAATCAAATGGATGGAGATGTGCAATGTTTTGCAATTGTATAACTGAAAATGTACAATTAAATGGGCTAAATTATCTACAAAATTTCTCGGGCTTCATAAAGTATTCAAGCTGACATATTTAACATTTGACCGCTACGAGTGATTGTGACCATGCCCTACCAAAAGTATATAATATCCTAGTAGACAATCTGTGTAAAAATATACCACATTCAGCCACAACTCACTCTAGCAAATGGAGAGTGAATATCAAGTATAGAAAAAAATTTATAGAAAGTGTTAACCTTATGTCGTAAAAGCAAGAACACCTCGAAACCTGATGAGAAAAGGTTCTTTCATTGTTAGGAGACCCTCTAATTGACCATTTCAATCTTGAGATGCATGGATATGGATAAAAAAAGAGTTAAAGTCCTAAAACAAATGCATCTTGTAGCTTATTATATGAGCTGTCTATTTTCAAGATTTTTAAGTATTTATAAATCCGCTCAATGTACATTTTTTGTCTTTAAATTTTTATAATTAAGAGTTGAAATAGATTTTCAAATCATTATAGCGGTTTCCTATATCGAAATTGCATCTTTCAACAAGGTTCAAAATCGGATCTTACTTTAATTGTTTAATCTTGACCCCTTATATAAACCAAGATTCCTTACAAAGAGACCATGTATCTTTTGTATATGGAGATTACAATCATTCTTGTCCCTTAAGTTTCAAAATGGGTTGTTGCAAGAGTATCATTGAATACACACACAATTTCAAAAAAAAAATTTTCGGACTTCATGACTCACCCCAAGCTATCAAATTTGACATCTAATGAGTGAGAATAATTATGACCTCAATGTACAAAAGACAAAGGCAAAAGTTTATATAAGGTTGCAACCACCTCAAAAATCCATCGGAAAGGTTGTTTTAATGTTGAAAAACTCTCTAATTGATCATCTCGACATCGAGATATATAAATATGAAAAAAAAAAAAAGAAGCTTTTGAGTCCCAAAATAGTGCATCTGGCAAAACATTATCTAGATTGTCCATTTTCAAGACTTTCATATATTTATAGATCTACTTAATTTTAACCATTTTTGGAGTTTAAAATTTTCTAATTAGATATAAAAATGGATTTTAAGATAATCTTAAGATTTTTTTGCAACAAAATTACAAGTTATGACAAAATTTGGACGTACGCCTTATTTGGATTGTTTAAGGTTACAACCTTATAGAAACCACACCCAACTATAAATGATCTCGTAGACAATCCCATACAAACAACACCCTCAATTATATTGTCAGAAATACAAAGGACCTTCAATTATATTGTCACAAATACCAAGAATTATGTTTAATCCTGTTGTCCATCATTCACAGGTATGTATAACATAAAGAGAGTTCAAATGGGCTATTGAGGGAAGTTGTTTTGAGTGAATTTAATAAATGCGCTCAATTTGAAATTGAAGAGAGTTTACATTGTAAAATATGTAACTTGGTGAATAAAGATACAAGATGGTAGTAGCTATATCTAAGGATTTCTTGCAAAGGAATCATATTTGCTCATATTCAACCTCAAATAGTTGGAAAAAAGTTTTACCGATCGCAACGATGATGAATCATATTGTCCCATCCAGTAATCAAGTGTATTTTAGGATCTTGTAACAAGCTAGCTACCAACTTAAAAAAAAACAAAAAATAAAATCAAATCAAATGCTTGGAAAAATTAGCTTCAAAATAATGGACAAGGCCATTAGATTAGATCTAAGTGTTTAAAAATTAAAAATCTTATCCTCAATCTTATTGCATTTTTTTCTAGCTAAAAGGCAAAGCAACATTGGATGCTTCACATTTCAAACAAAAGATAGGAATAGGGGTGGCAACAGGTCGGGTTGGGCCGGGTAAGGCCAGACCCAAATTCGCCAGATGCGAACCAGACCGGACTCGACCAAAAAATTGAAATATTTAAGCAGAAGGGATTGAATTTGTGCTAGATTTAGAAGCGGATTCCCTTACTGGTATAAAATGTTACAAGATGGAACAAGCTGTGTCGTGATATTTGTGATCGACTTAGCCGCGTATGATTGATATCTGTCAATCTTTGTAAGCGCCATTGGAACATGTCTATAGAGAGGCCAATACGGAAGTATGGTGGCAGTGGACTCGGACCCGATGGCCAAACCCAACGTGAGTCTGGGTATGGGTCCAATAATTGGACCCAGCATTTTGGATCCGAGTCCTAATGTTGGAGCCGAACACCATTCAGGTCCGGGTTTGGGTCTATATGGACCCGACCTAAATAATATTTAATATATAAAGTTTTAATAATATTTAATTTTATTTAAATAAATATGACTGCATATTTTTTTTCATTATAATATAAGTGCAGTTTGTATAAAGTCCAGACTCTAAACAATCAAATTAGACCCTACCTTCAAATAGTGTCGAGAAATGTGTTTTCAATACTGAAAATATTTGTGATAGCCTTAAAGTATATATTTTATCTCAATTTATAAAGTTTAAAGCTTCAAAATTAGTGTAGATCAACATATCTATGAAACTTGAAAGGAAAAAGTTATATAAGGATGCAACATTTTAATATAGAACTACGAATGCACCTAAAAAGTCCATCGGAAAAGGTAGTTTTAATGTTGAAAACCCTTTGATTGATCGTATGACCATGAAAAATAAAAAGATTTCAAGTCTCAAAAATAGTGCATTTTACAACATATTAGCACCGTCCATTTTCAAGATTTTCACATATTAGATCTACTTGATTTTAACAATTTTTGAAATTTAAAATTTTATAATTAGATATAAAAATAGATTTTAAGATAATCCTAAGAATATTTTACATCAAAATTATATACCATGATAATTTGAAGTTGTGCCTTACCTCCACAGCGATGGATGCATTCGTATGCCAACTGCACCCATCTTGAAAATTGACGGTCCAAAAATGCATTGCAAAATACACTATTTCCAAAACCTGAAAGCCATTTTGTTCTCATGATCATGCATCTTGATGTCGAGATGATCAATTTAAGGTTATTTGGGCATCAATACAACCTCGTGAAATAAAGTATGACTAAATAATATCTATTAATGCTTTAACAAAATACTTCCTTTATGGCAATTATGGAGAATTTATCAAGAGATTATCATCACATGCAACACATTATATTATAGGCATTATTGAGAGGATGGTCACCAAGATCGAGTTCTATCAGAGCACTCCCTTTGTGCTTACATATTTGAATGAGCTACACCTATCTCTTGTGTTTCATCCTTAGGGCTCAAAGCTTTTGATCAAATTACATCTCCATGTGTATCAGTACTTTAAATAGTTCATTCTCAAGCACAAGGAGGCACAAAAACACAAGGTATTCAAAACCAGTTTTTTCAAATTTGTTAGCACTTATCATTTAATGTCTATACATTCCATACATATTCATAAAACAATTAGCCAAAATATAAGTAAATCATATTAAATAAAGTTATTGAATTTTTTTTTCCTATATGACTTTACCATATAATGTAGGATAGATTTCATATCTCAAAACCGTGTAGTGTGGTACTTGGGTTTTCTTGATTTATCGTTTTTACTTGTTTGATAAGCTTTTGTGATTTTGGAAGGGCACTTAATTGATGGAAAATATATTGGTCATCGATCTCACATGTCACGAAGTGTTAATCTCTTCGGCACTTGGATTTTCTTGTCTTACACTGTGAAAAAAATCTCTTTTTCATCTTATTATTTCAAATATCACAATTTCGATTCTCCCACCGTTCTTTAGCGTTTCTAAGCTACCACCAAATCCCTCTATATATCCCTTTATTTTAAAGAAATCAAGATGTTTTTACAGGTATTGTGTTTCTTCTTCTTTCTGATATTTTCAGATCGAATACTCTTCATATAGAGTGTCATATCTTACCAATTTTGCATTATCTATCTTTGAAGTTTTATTATAATAAACCATACTTATAGACACTATAAAACGTTTTTAAATGAGCTCTAAAAAAGGTCTCCATATTTAGGAATCCAAAGATGTGCCTTAACATGCTACGACTTTTTAATTTACTGTAGAATAGAACTTGAGTATCTCATGATAAAAATACGATATTTTTCAAATCATAAAAAGTTAATCTTCGAATCTTTTTTAGTATTGAAATAGACTCAAAAAATATAAAATAGTATTCAGTTCCATCCCTAAATCATCCCATTTAGTGAGTATTCATTTTACTCAATAAAAAATTTATGTTTATCAATACTCAAAGAATTTCTTCTTAAAATATTGTGTTGAAAACTAG